AATGATAAAGCTACTTTAAAACTTAGTAACAGATATTTTTTATAGAATGGTACATACGCGCAAACACTTAAACTCCAGACCACTTAGCCGGCATCCAATTGTGTCAATGTCTAATCTCAGCCAATCCATGAAATTGAGTGACACATCCACCATTCTTATCAGTGAGTTGCAATCTCACAACAGACCCGGTTGAACTTCATTGGTTACTGCTTCTCACTTGTGAGCAGATGTAGGAATCCTGCAAGGTGGGGTCATGGATACGCACTGCTGAATAGTCTCATGATAGAACAAAACAGTTGTCCAGTTCATCCGGGCTTTCTATAGTGGTCTAGCTTCAAATGGCTCATGATCTCAACTATTGTAATTTTATTTGTTAACCGGAAATATATACGAAGGAATTTTTGATTTTATTGAATACAATTTGGTCATTCAAAACAAATTGATGTGCAAAACTTTAAATTAGAACTACTTTATGTGAAGACTGAAGATTGTGTGAAACAATTTAGGTAAGGAATAAAGTCTGAAGATTAATGGTTGCAAAGCATTCGTCCAAATATTAAACCAATCACATTATGTCTGATTGAAATAGGTTTTATATTTGATTAAAATCAACTGATTTATAAGTGGATAAACTTCATAATTCTATCAAATTCTATCAAAGTAAACTTTTTCCAGGTAACTTAACTTCTTGCTTATCTACCACAGTATTTGGAAAATGAACTGTTACTACAGTATTTTTATTATTGATCATATGAATACAATAATCATCGTTATCACTCTGTGCTTTTACTAGCATAACTGTTAACAATCAAAAAGTAGTGAACATAGATCCAGATACAACTGTATTGACAATTTTGAAAAGTTGATCAATCGCAGATCCCATTATACGTACAAAATTAGACTACAAACCTTTTTCTAATACATTTATACTCGTTGTAAAAGTTAGTGACTCCTTGAAGTGAGGAGCTCATTGAGTGAAGTGTTTTTGTTTTGAAGTGTAAAGTTAAAGGCTTCGAGTTTTAGTGTATACGTCAACAAAAATATTTACACCCGTTGACAAATTTAAAAAACCGATTGGATTTCCTGAATTCTACTGGTAGCTATACGACATATATTCTTAATACTGATCCATTATCACAAATCTAGTCAAATCATCAACAATCGGATTCTTCACTCAACTCCATTCTTATTGAACTACCGTCCGATTTTATCAATGTAAAATTTTTTGACTCTACAAACATTAAAGCTAGTGCACTGCAAATTGTTGATATATAAGCATCAGATCACAAGATATCACATACATGTTATCTTCATTTGAAAGTCCATGTTGTATAACAGAAACACGATTAACTTCCATGAAATGATCAGAAGTAAATATATAGAATATGTGCTACACTAATCAGTATATATATCTTACTTACTCACGCCTGTTACTCCCGGTGATGGATCATAGGCCGCTCACCAGCATTCTCCATCCAACCCTGTCCTGGGAAATCCTTTCCAGCCCCTTCCAGTTGTCACTATTCATCTTTTTCATATCTGCTTCTATTCCCCGACGTAATGTGTTCTTCGGCCTTCTACTTTTCCGCTTCCCTTCATGATTACAAGTTAGGGCTTGCCTCATGATGCAGTTTGGTGATTTCCGTAATGAGCGTCCTATCCACTTCCAACGTCTATTCCTAATTTCCTCTTCATCTGGAAGCTGGTTTATTTTCTCCCACGGTAAGCTGTTGCTGATGGTATCCGGCCAATGGATGTTGAGTATTTCGCATAGACAACCATTTAAAAATACTTGTACATTCTTAATGATGTTTGTTGTAGTTCTCCAAGTTTCATCTCCATACAGTAGAACTGCCTTGACGTTCATATTGAACATTCTCACTTGGTTGAAAGTTGTATTGAGTTCCATATGTTCTACAATTGTAGGAATGCGGCCCCTGCTTTGCCAATCCTCGCCTTCACGTCCGCATCTGAATCTCCTTGTTCATCGATGATGATTCCCACGATATGTGAAGGATTCTACATCTTCCAGAGTTTCGCCATCAAGAGTGATTGGACGGCTGTTTTCCGTTTTGAATTTGAGGACCTTGGTTTTCCCCTTGTGTATGTTGAGGCCTTGTACTATATGCTGCCCTTTCAGTGATTGGTCAAGAGTTAGAACGACTTCATAAATTGGATGCTATTGAACAAATAAACGTTTTGGAATGGGCTGCAACGAAAATGGTAGTAAAGAGGACGAACGGCAGTGTCCGTTTATGTGCCGACTACTCAACCAGGCTAAATGAAGCCCGAGAAACTCATCAGTACTCCTTACCCCTACCTAAACATCTTTATGTTAAGCTGAGTGGAAGCAAACTCTTTGCAAATTTAGAACGCAAATTTACAAATTCATGTTGCTAGCGAGAGTAAAGATCAGCTCATCATAAACATATGCATGGACCCATTGCTATATAGTTAACTACCTCTCTGAGTCAAGACGGACTTATTCATATTTCAGCAAGAAATGGATACTGTGCTACAGAATGTTCCAAGTGCTGAAGCTTATTTAGATGACAGATAGATGGTAGATAGAATGGACTTAGAAAAGGAGCTCAACCTGGTGCTGTGACGTAGTGCCGAATATGGACTTTGGCTGCTGGCTGAAAAGCCTAATAGTCCCTGGAAGAGGCTGTATGTAGATGTTGGCGGTCAAGTACTAGGAAAAGTGTGTAGTCATAGTGCATGTACTCACGAAATGACCACAAATATATGTCATGGCGAATTGCACAGCCAGGGAAACAATCAGCAAGTTATCTGAACTGCTTAGCTGCTTCGTAGTTCCGGAAACATTAGTTATCAACAACGGCTCACAGTTCACTTCAGAATCACTCAAGCACTTCTGTAGTATTAATAGTGTAACACACTTATACTCTCCACTTATCACCCTCATTCAAATGAAAAGGAGGAGCGCTTTGTTGACATATTTAACACAGCATTAGTGAAAGAGTGGACGAAAGAACTACACCTAACCCTATTGTTCCAGATAGGAAGACCCATCTGAAGTTATACGTGAAAGAAGTACTAGGACTATATTCATCGCCCTGTTGTCACCTAAAGCAATGGGTATGTGGAGACAAATCCAGAATACGTGAAGTTCTAATGCAGGTGATAAGGTAACTATTAAGTCATACAATCGGAAAAATCCATGAGGACCTGGAGTTTTTGAAGAGAGAATATGAAACAATATTGAGAATTTCAGTTCGTAAATAGATGAGATCATGGGTCGATTGAAGCTAGACCACTATAGAAAACCATGAGGAATTTCCTAGAGTTCTAGCGAGAAGCAGTGTCCAATCGAGAATAACCATGTGTGTTGTGAGATAGTAACTAACTGAAGACAATGGTGGATGTGTCACTCAATTTTGTGGATTGGTTGAAGTTAGATATTACCACATTTGGAAGCAGGCTCAGTGGTGTAGAGGTTGACCGCTCGCACGCGAGATCCACAGGTATTGTGTTGAAGACTCGCTAGGCGAGGTCGTAGACGAGCACTGCTGAGGTGTCCCACAATAGGATGAAATGGCCGTCCAATTGACACATGATCTCAACTATTGAAATTACTATAATATCCAAAAAAACCTCTTCTGGTATATGTAATTGTAAGATTGTAAAGCAAATATATAAATAGTTACTTTATTAACATTATGAACTTCATGACGCATCGCAACTATCAATAACTGTCATCAGTTTTACTTTACTATGATTGTAATGCAACAGTAAAACATGTATACATAATTTTCGATAATATTTTTTCTGTGCATTATATAATCAATGAAGTACATCAGTAGTCATTATCGGCTTGTGAAATTCATTGAAAATCACTTTCAAATGTTGACATTACTATTGTAGTACCAGAATAAATTCAAACCTATGGGATAATCGTTTATTTGTGATTGTTGAATCTCACTTTCTACAATTGTATATGTATTCACAAATAAACTTTAGTGAGACTTCGTTTTGTCTCTTGATGTCAAAACTTTTCTGCAACGATCAGTGATTCCTTTTTTCGATAGAATGAGAGATAGAGATGCTTTTAGTACAGAATAGTTGACAATACAATCACATTTCATCAATGTTCACTGAAATATTCATATTTAAATGGATGGACAATACAATACACTATATGTGAAAAGATTTATCACGATTTTTCTTGATATAATAATAATAATCACTTGAGATGAAAAGGTGAACTAAAATAGATTTATAAGCAGAGATAGATAGTGGCTAGCAGTGGAATCCAGGACGCGCGTTTCGTCCAGTTTGGGACTCGTCAGCTGGATGTACCTGCATCTCAGAGTTGATGTTCACTCTGAGACTCGAACTCAGTACCGTTCGCTTCAAACGTCATCGCGTTATCCACTTAGCTACTGAGTCCTGATAGCCACTTGCTTGTGCAATGGGGTGAAGTTTAATTCACTTGATATTGTTTTATTTGAATCACGAAATATGTAAATATAGTTTGACGAAAACATCTATTGCGTCGTGACTGTTAGTTACGTATTATCCCTTGTTGAATCACACTATTTGTTCCGATACGTAATTCATCAGTTACCTCGAATTTTTCATATACAGCCCAGTTGACCTAAAGAAATTAGGATAATAACACAATTTACTTTGTTGATAACCCTTCAAGAATGAATTTACTCAACGTGATGTAAGAAATACGCAGTCATCTGTAGATCATATGAAGAAATTCACAAATGTGCTCGTCTCTCACTTCTTTTGCTTAAACTTTCTATATCTTCACCTATAGTTATATGAGACTTGATTCATACCAATGTAAATAAATCAACATAGTAGTATCACATGTATTCATTTACATGTACTTTAGGTATTTAATAGTTGTCGAGTTAACTGTTCATTTGTTCAAGTAATAATATTTTACGTGTTTTATGTATACTACTGATTATTTGCCAGTAGCTGGTATAAAAACATAATTATTCAACATATAATTTATTACAGACGATACAAAATTGAACAGATTGGAAATGTCTAAGTGAAAAATCTTCCTGTAGATCTATTTGTACTTGAACACAAATCTAGTTTCAGCAGGGTCACATTTATCTCCTTATTAACAGTAGAACTATTACACAATGAGCAATTCGTCTTATTGAATGTAATGATGTTAATAATGTCTATCAAATATAAACTATTTGATAAATCGATGCAAAAGAGACTATATAGTACTAATACTGCTAACGTCCAATGTGGGAAGGAGATCCGGACTTGTGATTTTCCAACAGTAAATTGACTGAAACAGATTGTTATCTGTTAAGAGAAATTGCAAAATGCACGTGTCAGCAATTTCGATTAATCCAAATGCTGAATGTTAAATTATTCCACAAATAACACATGCATATATTAACACTGAAAATATTACATTGCTGAAATGGGTCATTGACAAAATTGTTCTAATTACATATGCAACCAAATAAGTAGTATTTTTAGTTTTGCAAGTAAATGCAAATATATGTAATGGTAATTCATGATTACATTTAAGAGAACAATGTCTATTACTTAGAACTAGAAGAAAGAGTGAAGCATGATATTAAGTGAATGAATCTACAATTCACATACACTTCAACAAACTGCTGCTATATGCAGACCGTGGCAAATTCTCTTATCATTCCAAACGACTGACTATACAGTTGATCAATTAGGAAGACTAGTTATGCTGTGTATAGAAAAATACATAAGTGAATATTACTCACAAGAAATAATAATATTTCAGCACCTACATGGAGAGCGATCACAGCAACCTAAAATCCAATGATAAGTTAACATTTAACAAATGGATATTAAATAGAAAATTATAAATATCGAAATGTGTCTGAATCAAATGAATTGAACTGCATAATTTGGTAGAACTCATCTTTGAACTTCTGTAAACTCACACTTTTACTGTTTAAAAGAAGAAGAATGCATATTATGTAATGGAGAGAATTGATTTCAGTTCGCCTGGTCTAAATTGTTCAACATATCATCTTGTATGTATAGGCGAACAGTTCAGTACTGTTGAATGCGATTACGATTATTTTCAATTTAAGGATGAAAGAAAGACGTTTAGATGAAGACCGTGATTCAATCGTGTAAAAGTATCATGTAAAAAGTGTTCTGGTCACGGTAGTCAAAATTGAAGTTTGTTAATTGAATATGTGAATGAAGGAAGTATTATTGAGTAGTCCGTGTTAGTGAAATATGTATATCTTACACGCAGAACTATATTTGTAAAATCTTTTATTCATTCATGTGCATATTAAAGTTTAAATGCCAATGAATTGAAGTGTGATTACGTAACGCATTCTGCTGTGATCGAGAAACGTATTACATGTTGAGAATTATCCGACTTTGTTGAACGTGATCGATAATTCTTAAAAATTCTATCGAATCAATTCTTTGTTCATTATTTTCCCAAAACTGATTACTCACCTACCTGAGATAATTATTACATAAGTATGTCACTTAGAAAACTTCTATCATACTAAGTACATAGATAAGTAAATGAATTCAAATGCCTGAAAACAAACCAGCTTCATAAGCGTTTATTTAAATTGAAAACTTGTTAGAAGACTCATTATTCACTTGTCATGTAGTATGTATTGGGAGTATTGTCCAAGCCATCTGTGTTTGAAGTGTGTGTTTATTTCACATGGATTTGCATGAAGAATAATTAGTTTGTTAATAAAACAGTTTCACTCACTGACATACCCATTTTTTTAAAACATAAAATACGATCGCGGCTGCAACAAAAGCAATGGAAAGAATCACAATACACGTTAGAATTAACAGGAAATGATCAGCTAATCGTGTTCGGATTGCAGCTCCACTTAATATGGAACAAATAAAATATATCAATGTGATTGCGATGGCAGTAACTTTCACGTGGAAGCATAAATTTAAAACAGCAATTCCAATCGCTGTACCGATCAATATCGACTGAAATGTAACACAATTCAAGAAATGTTAAATCAGTGATCAACGTTTAGTTAGTTCCATACAGAAAGGTTCCTGTACAATATCTATCATCACACATCATTTGTTTACTAGATTATGGTGACGAGGTGTTTACAAGACAGCTGATATTTATTTTCTAATCTCAAATAGATTACTTTAATTTTCATTATATCATTTTCTTGGAAACAATATTGACTTCCTTAATTCAAAGGTCGTTCCATATCTAAATAACATAGGAAGACACATCCGTGTGTTCCTCCCTCCTGAAAATACATTTCAACAATGGTATTCAGGAAATACTTTATATAAATTCATCAACCTTGTGACAACGTATGAACAGTCAATCTTGAAGTTTATATATGTATATATAATCAGTGTACGACGCATCTGATATTTTCGTAGTGAGAAAGATACAAACCTACAAATTAAACCTGTATTCCACTTACATCATACTACAGTGGGAAAGTGCATGCATTTATAAAGTCCAGGAGTAACCTCAGTCATTAGTATTGAGTGGGCAGTTTTCATAAAGTAACACTATTCAATATTTCTAGATTGTGCTTAAGTATCAAGGCAAATAAATATGCAATTTTTCAAACATTTTTGTTTGTGAAGTGCAAAATCGATGGTTTGAATGATTTTTACAAGACAAATATAGATGAATGAAACAATGTGAGCCACTTCAATTGATCAGCACTTACCGATATATTGGGAGTTACATTATAAATAATTTTTACAACAGTTTTTTCTCTCATCATATATACATCATTGCCTAATGAAAAGTTTATGTGTTAAAGTAAGTATATAGATATGGATTCATCTTGAAATATTTGTCATGAGGATCATCATTTACTGCATATTGTGATCATGAACCAATTGAAAGACTGTTAAGTACTATGGTGGGACTCATCAGCAGTGCCCACACATGACCAGGCTCGCAGGATTCAAACCATGGGCCTTCAATGTGTCCAACCTACTAGACCAATGAGACGGCATTCAACGGTGATAATGTCTAACTTCAAACAATCCACAAAATTTAACGATCATCTTCGATTGTTCTGAGGTAGATACCTGTCTCTACCCAACACGGATTAGCTCCACTGATCACGGTTATCTCACTAGAACTCCAAGAATCCCCTCATGATTTCAATCAATAACAAATTTTCATGTATTTATAAAGTTCAACAACTGGTAAAGCAAATACAAAAATTGACAGTTCTTACGTAAATAACCAGAATAAAAATATTTAATGGATGTTCATCTCTTATTTTTCGATAGAAAATAATCAACATTGCTAACGCTAAAGCAGTCCAACTACAAAATAGATCAAAATGAAATAGTGTAATATTTAAATGTCATTGTCATATGAATGTACTTCTAAACACAAGTCAAACATACTGAATGATACTACTTATTAATAAAATATGAGGGAATAGTTGAAATAAAGCTATTCAAATGATTCATTGTTCATGCCTGCTATCAGAATAAAAATGGATTACAAGCTCACTAGATCATATCATTTGCCTGTTAAATGAAAGATTCTATGCAAATGATGTGTTAATGAAATGGTTAACGAAGAGTTCTCTTTTCTTATTTTATGTCACAGTGGGTATATTCCGTTTAATGAATAGTTATCTCTGCTTTACAGGCTCTTCTTCATTATAAATGTCAGTCAGTATGGAACTCCATTTGACGTCATTAAACAAAATGCATCAAACAATCTTAAAATAAATATCATGTAATACGTTTATACAACTCAAAACCTAATTGTCAAGTTATGTAACACTTATGCAATTCAATGACATTCACACATAAGATGATGCAACACACTTTTACTAACGTATTAATCACAGATTAATGCTTAATATTGAAAATGTGATTGGAATATAAAATGAGAAATGACACAAAAATGTTCTGTACTACATGATTGAATGGTTTTATGAGATTAGCATGCTATGAAATGTAAATATAATGCTGATTAAAGTTAGTTCAATTTCAGATGTACCTTACATTCTATTGATTACTATGTTGTATTATAGGAATTACTGATCACAAACATCCGTCTACTCATGTAGTGTGGGATTCATGACGTGCGTTTTGTTCTATTTGAGACTCGTCAGCTTGATGTACTTGAAGTATCAAGGCGATCCGCATAGGATCTACATATCTGAAGAAAAGACTGATCAATCAAACTCCTGAACATATGATGATATATGTTATATGATCTTATAACTGAGTACACAGACGAATGCAACAAGCAAACTTTCAAAAAAAATTGATTAGAATTTGTATTATTGCATTTAACTCAACAGCTGATGATAATGATAAGATTACAATAATAGAAAACATACATCAACACCCAAGGAAAAACTGTCCATGAATTAGATAGATATCCAGCTATGAATCTACAAAATATTTACTTATATGGTTTATTGAATAACTTACGGTATTGATAAGATCATGATAACCAACACAGTAAAAGCTATCTCAATTGATAGAAATAGGAAAACCTGAAATCAATAAAGAACTAAAACTATTTATTGTATCATTACCTGTTTCGTATAAGATGGTATAATAGGACTGTTACTTCTGTTATATATAGTTGTAATTTTACTTCTTGATTTGTACTTCCATGAACTATTGTAGACATCAGGAAACATTGATCGTCAGTGTATCTAATAATAGGAATAATATGCTACCGTGATTTTTAATATTTTCAAGGTTATACCATATATAAGACAATATGGTATAAAACGTTAAATCATTTGTATGTGATCATTATAGATCATTCTCTTTCACTGAACACATATCATACAAATCCATCGGAGTTCCAATACATGTATTATATATGATTAGGTGGAGAAAATTTGTAGCTCAAGTGGATGATTTTGATGGAGTTTCGTTCTTTGAGCTGGATGGTTTGATCGTGTTGCTTTCATCGTTCTGCTAAACGATGATATGAACTACTAATATACTCAGAATATATTCACCATAATGTAGGATTATTTTTTACATGTGGAAATAATAAATATTTTACGCACAGAATGTTGAATGGTAAGGAAATTGTAAGTATAAGCATATCTAAATGTATTCTTTAATTGACATGTTAAATACTGCTAACATAACTTCGCCTGGAGCCCCTCTAGAGCTACTGCTGGCCTCAAGCCTGAATAAAGGAGGACGCTTGAGCATGGAGTTAGCGACACAATTCCGTAGAAAACGAACTCGCTAAAAAAACGATGACCAGAAAAAAATACATCTAACATTGGTATTTTTTCGTTTCCCGAATCTCAGTAACAGCAAGAAGATACTAGGCTTGTTCGTCGATTGTATTGATGTTAATTTAGTAGAGAAAAACTGAATAATTAACTGATTTCAGTAGTTGAGATTATGAGCCAATTGATGCTAGATCACCATGGAAAACCTGAAAGCACTGGACGACCATTTCGTCCTATTGTGAAACTCCTCAACAGTGTGCATCTACGGTCCCAAATCGCGGGGTTCGAACCCAGGACCTATCAATCTCGATCGCGAATCCAGTAACTAGTTCACCATCTATCATTATAGAGTAAGACGACAACGATTGAAACGTCTTCGAGTTTTTGATTTACTTTCCCATTGCTGATGGTGCATGATTTCTCCTCTATGGAAACATGGAAAATCATGGTTCATTGAATTTAGAAAACGTCATTTAAAGTAGATGTGATCCAACATTACTTACTTGACAAAATTACAGAAATGTTGATATATATCACAGTCCTATTCGGTTTATTTATGTTACCACGTATATTAGATTATTCAAACAGATGGAAACAAAATCTTCTTACAATTCTATTGAGTAATGAAACATTAAACTGAAAATTGGTTAATTTGATAAATCTAAACGTTTGTTTGTTTGTCTTTTTGAGTGGGTGTGTGTGCGTGTTTGTATAGTTATTTTGTGAATGAATGATAAACGTGGTATCTCTTATTGGTATCTCTTATATACAAGTATCCATCAGCAATCTAGTTTAACTGGTGATTAGGAAGAACTATGAACTGTTTAATTGTTTTTTCGTTTTAGTAATCATTATAATCTAATTTACATAGTTCATCCTATTTATGATTATTATTGTTTTCTATTTGATGTGTAATAAACCTTTCCGGTAAACTTCAATGGATGTGCTTTTCATGTCTTTCGCTCTATCCAGATTGATACTAAATCAAATTATGAAAATGGTTGCGAAGTGCAAAATACAAGCATCACTAACACTGACTGTAACATTCGTAGATTTAATTGAAGCTTCAGCTGTTAAGTGGTATGAGTATTGTGGAGATATATGCGTAATAAAATATGACAAGCTTACACAACCGGTGTGCACACAAACAATACTAAAGCTATGTAGTCGAAGCTCAAATAGGTTTTGCGACCTTATCATGGCTACAGAGGCCAACTATTATAGAGTCATATGGATGAGTGTCTCTACCGTATGCGTCACGATTTTAAAACCTCAGAACGTTTTCCTAACCATGACAAGTTTTTGGAACATATAAAAGAAGTGTATCCACTTTAACTCTTTGGTTTTGTATAATATATTATTACCCTATACAAACTGTTCACAAATTGCTAATATTTCTCAAGTTCACTAAAAATTCGTTCAAAGGTCTCGCCTACAATCGGATCATCTGCAAGTCATATATACTTTGAGCTAATTACTATAATGAAGGAGAATTGAGAATATGAGAACCATTCATTAACTCTTTCATTTGCAAATCTCCAATCAATTGTCTCACAGATTCTGTATGATTCTTCCACTTAACGATTCCCTTCCATTTCAATTTCTGTTCTCTTCAACTCAATCTTCTTAGCCCTTTGTTACCAGTTATTCCTCTTCTGATTAATGTTATATGCAATTTATGTTGAAAGATATATGCAGCATACACCACACTACTAACACTATCTGGATAAACAAGAATAATACATTTTCATTAGTATACCTTATTGTGTGAAGACTGAGTGGGTTTGAATACTTCTTCAACTAATATTTTTTGAAAAATATAGGGAACAGAAATGAACTGTATACATCGATTCGAACCGAGAAGTTATCTGATTGATAGCTAATATTCTCAGTATGGTTGGTCAATTTTTATCATTGGACAGTGGTGTAAATTTGATTAAACGATCGAGTAATCGACTATTGATCTTGTTTATTCCACCCAGTATTTAAATAATGCAAAATAACATTAAGATATTTGATTGAAACCACGAAATAACGATTTTGAACGGTTTTGGATGGTAAGAAATATGTTTAAGTTTTGATGAATAGAACATATTGAAAAAGATCAATAGTAAACTCTTATTTAAATAACTAATTGACTCGGGATGGTGGAGAAGATTTGTAGCTCGGTTGAATGATTTTGATGGAGTATTGTTGTCTGAGCTGGATGGTTTAATCGTGGAGTTTTCATCGTTCTTCTGGACGACATCATCAGCAAAAACTAAGATAGGTCCCACAAAATGCTTCCTCAGTTAAATCTAAGGAATAGTATGTATGCAGTAATTTAACTAGATACTAGCAAAATCCAAAAGGTACAGAAGATACTTAATCAGACAAAATTTAATTGTATTTGAAAACAATGTTGTCAATATTTGGTGTAGATTATTGATAGTGTAACGTTACTCTCCAGAGTTTACGAACAGAGATCAACATTTTAATTTTGTTGGAACCTTCAGAGTTTACAAATTTGTTAATACTTCATAACGTTCACGTCATCTTAAATGTTTTTTAATTATTGTATTGCAGGTTATGTATTTCTCATTCTGATACGATGTTTAATACAGTCTTTTGATTTATAAGATTTAAAAGGAACAGGTATTTCCAAAAAAAACAAACTGACTGACAAATATTTTTATAAAGAAGATAACAGAGGATAACTTACAATGACTTTTGTCATGAAAATACTTTGAATCCGATATACGTTCAAATGGTTTATATTAGTCAGTTAAATGTGCCGTGTCCTGAGAGATGATGTTTTAATTAAGTGCATTTGTTAATAAATATAATTTAGTCAGATTGTCCGATAAAGTAACGATGTAACATCGTGTGATGTAAGTAGAAAATGAGTTGAAGTAGAGAGGCAAATTCAGTCAGTCAGCAACAACGTAGGACTTCGTGCGTACGTATGTACAACGGTTAAAGTTGACATACCACATTAGCGCAGCGATACAATTGTCGGTTTAAATCACATAGTGGTACAGGTAGTAAAAGTATAAACATTAGGGTTTGAAGATGTTATTCATTGAGCATAAACCAGTTAAATAGCCGTGGAAAAAGAAAAAAAAGGTCGTGGAGAATCCAGAAGATTAGAATTTGGGAGAACACAAAGTGTGGATGCACCTGCGCCATCGCAAACAATTTTGAACCATGTCACATTCAATGTCTCTAACCATCGGTCGCTATCGTCTCACGTATCCCAACCACGTAGTCTACACCCACCAACATAGCTCAATCCACTTGTCAATGACTTAATGGATTTGTGCCATGTCTTGTTCTGACCGTCTCTAGCTTTCTTTCAGCCTACTCCTGCAACACAAAACATGGCTCATCAAGGTCGTTGGTGGTTGAGAAAGACAAAATACGAATACTTGTATCGCTATTTCGAATATCACGTATGTACCTGCTCTGTCATTTGTTTCACAACTGATGATGTTGGAAGTGAACATGTTTATACTGTAACATCTGGCTTGAATAAAGAAGAAACAAAAGTCTAGTAATCGTTATAATCTATTGTCAATGTAAAAGATGGATTGGTAAATTCATAATAAAAACTAGTGTAGTACATTTCAAAAGTCACTAACTTGACTTTATGCTTCCTCGATGCCATGAAAATTATTCCAATCACATTTTGGATAGTGG